TATAATAAAAATAACCAACAATAACTTTTTAAAGGAAAATAACCAGCAATACCTTTTTTTTTTAACTGTAGTTGAATGTATGCAATTGCGTTCAAAATATATTTAATTGAAGATATAAAATTTTGTTCAAATTATTTGCATTTAGTTAGTAAATAACCCATAGAGGTGTTGATATACCGCTAAACAAAACCATCCAAACAACCAACGATCTAAAAAACATAAAATTGGATATACACACAAAAGTTTTAGACACATAAACTTATTAATAAAATAAGAATATTCTATTATTGATATGTAAGTAAATCTTGCACTAAATATAGTAAATACTAAGGGTATTATATGTGAGGAAAATGTTTGTCCTGTACTTGTATTAATTGGTAGACGTAACGTTTTGGGCACATATCAATGGATAGTTTTCTATTATTTCATGGCAAACATCTGAGAGGCATTTATTGTATATATTTCGCAGAAATCAATATCAATTGATAAATTATTAATTGATTAACTTTATCTTTAGGAAACCAGATTGACAAGGAAAATAGTATTTTAGTTATTTTAAGACATTTTACGTTTGCACATTCTTTTTATAGATACAAATATTTAAGTAAATGCTCTATTTATAATAAACAGTATTAAACAAGATTTATCTGTTTATTATAAATAGAGCATTTACTTAAATATTTGTATTTATAAAAAGAATGTATAAACATAAAATAATTGTCGGACTTTGTCCATTTCATAATATTTTAGTCATATATATGTGTTAGTTAAGCAAAGATATATTTCTACTACTGTTCTACTTCCAAGTGCTATGTATAATTGATGTCAGTTATCTCCTGTTAATTCACCTCTCCAAGTTCTCCACTACCTTAACCAGGTATTGAACTTACAACTCTTTGGGTCTTGTCATGGATCTAACCAACGCCTTTACCTATTGTGACATGTGTCATTACGTACAACTGTGTATGAAATTTCTGGGACTTACAAACTTAATGTCTTCAGCAATGATTTTTTTAACATCGCTCATATTGCAATTTTTGCTGTTGTCATTGTATGTTTTATTTATTTATTTTTTTTTACCAAAGCACACACTGCAATTTTCGTTGGTATCAGAAATATAGACAGATATTCGAACAAAAGGTTACAAAGGACCTCCCCCATCAATACTCGAAAGAGCGATAACAACTACTTGACATGAGAAACAGTTTTCCTAAAAAAATGTTTTAATAGAAATATTTTATAAATTTCAACTGATAATAGCAGTGGCTGCTCAGTCAATGAATGCCGATGTTTCCTTATAAGGAAACGGCTGTTATTACCATGACCACAGATATCGCTTCCTTTCTTGTACAAAAGGTTTTTGAGTGGTTAAGGTTACAAATAACTAAAGTATATCTTCAGTTAAGAATTGTTCCTTCATATTATGTAAGTAAGTCTATTGCCCACCTTCAAAAGAAAATGTTTCACAGGTATCAAATTAATGGGATATCTGCAGGCCTCACTAGTCATTAACGCAAAATTAAGTTTTCCAGTCATCATTAAAGACATAATATATGAGAAATGAAAACAATAGCGAAAAAGGAAGATCTCCGAAAAGCAGCAAAAACTGTTGAAAAATTATGTTAAAGTAAAAACAGTAGAAAAGTTCAAACTAATAAATGAAAAGCTGATTAATGTTATGTCCAGGAAATCAGATTGTCAAGTAAAATAATAGTTTAGTTATGTCTATGTGTTAAGCAAAGATATATTTCTACTACTAATATCATTTCGATTTTTTATAGACAGCATTTGATTCACTTTCATACTAAATCTTCAAAACTTATTATTAATATTTTCTCATATTGATAAATATAATAAGCGAAAATTGGCAACAATATATTCCATATATTGTGGATTTTTTAAATTATCATTTGGTTATCTGTCTATATATCTGAGATGATATATTATGTACATTATTTACATTATTCGGACTATTGTCCTCATCTTTGTCGCCATATTTATTACAACGTTTCGGCAGTTGTACGCTCCAACCTTCTTCAGGTGGTTGGAATGTCGAACTGAACCCTTTATTTCGCTCAATGGTACAGACTGGTTCCACGTGCCATGTTTAATGGATGCCAGTTGTCAGTTATCTCCTGTTAATTCTCCTCTCCAAATTTTCCACTGCCTTAAACAGGTATTGAATTCACAGTCTTTGGGTCCGAATAATGTAAATAGTGTATCATTTGGTTAGTGTTAATTTTATTCGGAAAACTTTGGTTTGGTTCATAAAATCTGATCTAGTGGCTCAATATCTATATTTATGCCAGTTTCCAGAAAATACATTTAGATCCTATGAAAAAGGAATTATATTCTAAGATTTCTTCAACATGGGTCTACATTTCTTTCACTATTATGTGTTATTTATGAAGAGGTAAAAATGCCCCTTTTTTTAAATCCTGCAACTTGTACTGGTGTTTGAGGGACTTATTGAATGACGCTTTACTTACAAACTGCCCCGTTCAGTTGCAGTGTCATGTGTGATAGTGGCTTAGGTGATCATGTATCTTTCGATACATGACTGTCGAGGCAGATTTTTTCCCGCAGTAGGTTGCCATTTCTTTTTGCGGTAGACCAGTCGCCATCCAAGGCTATAGAACACAGTATGTCCTGCTATTTACCCATATAAGGAGAAGAGGATTCATAACTTTTGCAAGGTTATTAGCACGTAAGTTAATGTAATGGATTCGACTGGAATTCGAACTCGGCTTCTCAACCCGAGCCGCTGTCCATTACTCCACCGTGCCTCATTCAATTTAATAAATAGTAAGATATGTATTTGGCGCGTGTTCCTAACATATATCCAAACAGATTAACTGTGTCTGTTTTAAAGGTTTCTCATCGTGTAACGTTGTCTCTGTTGGGAATGTTTTTTTTGTTTTGTCTTATTCTTTCTTGCTTAAATTGAAAATTTATTAAAGATTAGTTTTCTGAAGCTGAACATTACATAGGATCACGCCGAAAGATGGCGTTAAAAGATCATTCTACTTTGGAAAGACGTGCATTCGTTAAATGTAAAATCCGAAATCCCGGACTTTTGTCTGAACTCGAAATCCGAAACACGGAATAATTATGTTAACGAGATAAGATTTTAGGCTTTAACTAATCAGAACTTAATCTAGTACAAAGTCACCACGGTATAGCATTATTATTTCTTGATAATATTTTATTGAAAAAAAATAGTTTAAACAAAGTAACTATAAACATTTTTTTTTGCTATGCTCTGCCAGCCAAAATGATGGAGAAAGCATTACCTCGAACCATCGCCAGTGAGATACGCTGCAAGAGCCACTCCGTTTCGCGAGGCCCGTCCCTTAATCGAGACGCAATCGCGCCAATCCTCCGAAGGAACGCCATCGAACGAGGGCCAATAACCCCAGAAGTCTTCACTTCCACAGGAGTAAAAAAAAAAAAAAAAGATTCTATCACCAAGAGAAGAATATTTCATTTTTTTTTTTTTTTTTTTTTATCTCTGCGTTCCGGGCGACGAACCCTGGCTGAAACGCGGACCTGATCAAATTACCGGCCGAAAATGTATCCGCACAGTTCGCATCCAAAATCACCGACTTCCCCATTTTAAAAGAGAAAATGGTAATGCCATCCGACTGCTTTCCATCACGGGTTCGATTTGGGAAAGGAACCCAGCTGCATCCAAACCTCTTCTGATGATGTCGTTTATTGCTGCATGCCGTGAAAAGCGGCCAGCACTACGACGACAGGAGAGAGGATGCAAACCAAACTCATCGACGGAAGCTCATCATCTAGAAGGGTACCGGTAGATGAAGAGGTCACTGCGTTCAGCCAGGCGTCACTACTCGGTTGTGAAGCAGATAGTAGACAGGCGAGGCGATGCTGATCCAGAGAGAGCCTCAAATTAGTAAAATTGGTCTCGCATTTTATTTTATCCCAGCTTTTCTGTTTTGATGTGTCTAGTGGGAGAGAAAGTAATTCTTGGATCCAAACGCTACAAGCTTGTTCGAAAGAACTACCCGAGAAACACTGAGACGATTCACCGAGTATCTCATCAATTAATTCGCGACTGGACGAAAGTGAAGAAAGATATGCTGGAAGGGCCAAATCTACCGCTAATCGAAGGACCAGGCCTCCAAAACTCAAAAGGAGCTTTGCCTGCCTCCAACTTGTGTCAGGAAATTAACGTTGCGAATTAGCTCCGCACATCTCTTAATTGTGATATCTATATATCTTGATAGTACCCTATAATAAGTTTATGTAATCAATGTAATAGTAAATTTATAATCGCATTTAGTTTTTAACACCATAGACGACCATATTTAAAATCATGTTAAATACCTTGAACTTTTAATGGAGAATTCATTTTGGTGATTAGTTCTCGTTTAAAAGTAAGAGAATGCACGAAAAAGATCTTTTTGATAGTTCGTTTTTCTTTTACAAAATACTCTTCACCCGCAGCAATAAAACGAGATAACACGTAGACTCTTTATCTGCACAAAACAAGAATCTATAGTTTCTTAGATTTCATCTCTGAAACTAGAATGCTCTTTCATAAAAGCACCTGCATATACAAGTAAGAATTTCCGTTCTATGCATACATTGATACATATTTATTATATCTGACATATTTACTAGGAAACGGAGAAGAGTTTTCCGCTTTTTAAGCGATCATAAAAAAAATCCCAATTTCGCAGAGAACGAACTAATACTGTAACCAGACACTGATCTTGTCAGGTTGGTGATGTGCCGGGTATAAAGAGCTCAGGATAATTCTGTTTTTGTTCATATTTCCAAAAGAAATAATTTTAGATCTATGTAAAAATCCAACCGCATTTTATAAACGAGGGATGTTCGGAAAAAACATAAAATTGTCAGCAGTTGAGATAGTCAAATGCGAATAACACATTCAGGTGTTAATATATGAGTTGTTTTTTTTATATATATTACTATTTACGAACACATTTACATACGAATTTTTTTCCTGTATTATGGACTATTTTTTTTTCTTCAACCTCCTTTTCAGTTTTCCTTCTTTTATTTATCCTCTTCTTCTTTCATTCTCCTCTCTCTTCTATTCCCCTCTATTCTATCTCTCTTTTCTATTTTTCTCTCTTCATTTTCTCTCTCTTCCTTCAATTTTTCTCTCTTCAATTTCTCTCCCCTTTATTTCCCTCTCTCTATCCCTCTCTCTTCTATTTCCCTCTCTTCAAATTCTCTCTTCTATTTGTCTGTCTTCTCTTCCTCCCTATAATCCCTCTGTGTTTCTTTATATCATCCACTTCCTCTTCCTATTTTTTACTACTTCCTTCTCTTTCTTCATTAATTACTCCCCCTTATCCAACTCTTCTTCATCTCCAACTCTCTCCTTTTCCTTTTTACAGTTTCTTTTTTCTCTTTCTCCCCCTTTTTTATATACTTCCTCTTTTCCATTTCTTCCACGTCTTCCTTTTCACGTACTTTATTTTTTAACTTCTACTCCTCCTTTTCCTTCTTTTTACCTCTTCCATTTTCTCCTCAACTCTTCAATTTTGCTAAACTTAATAGCTGAGCAAAGAACACTCTCTCGATTTGGTAGCAAACAAGATTAAACAATGAATAAAAAGTCAAAATTCGATTTAAACATGTAAACAGAATTTCCTTTTGATATGTTTGCTTATATTTACGATATTACTATTTACACCCACTTCTACTTTGTCAGAAAAGCCCCGTCTGCCATTGTTATTTAATATTGCGAAATTTGTTCATTTTTTTTTCTATTTTTTATACTGTACGATTAATTTTGTCTTTTCCTGTTATACATATACGCCTGTCAAATTTGTAGTATTTAATATATTGTTCTGAAATTGAATTTTATAACCCGTTGTCTGTGTCTGTTAATATATAAAAAGAACTTGTCATCATCCGGGCATTAGATTCTTAGAAATGGATAAAAGTATTCAAAATTGATGGCTGTACGAATAATTTGTTTCCCTATTTAACAATCCATCGTTAAATGTCTGATAAGAGAAAAAATTCAATCAAATTTCAGAAACAAGTTTTAGAGGAAGATTAAAATTAAAACAAAATCACTACAGCCTTTCTTAAATTATTATACAAATCAAATAAACCTTAGTAACTCAAAACGTTCTAGACCAATATTTGTAAAATGGAAACCCTGCCATTTTCACCCTTAGTAAAATATTTAAAACTTCTGCTATTTTTAACGGTTAGTTTTTGAGTTATCTCTATCTTACGAAAATGGACTGACAGATGTTAATGTGCAGATTAAATTAAAGTTAGCTTAAGACCTCCGAAATCTAATAAAAACTATTTTTGTCCACAATATATATATTGAAATATATGTAAAGGGAAGTATCTAACAACTGTTGAGAAACAGAAAATAACAAAGTTATTGAGTGAGGGAATGTCGACATTGGAGTTATCAAAGGAACTTTGCAGAGATCATCGAATGATAAAGAAGGCTGTAGAAAATATAAGTAAATTAAGGCTTTAAAAACTTGCTACTTGAGATGAACGTAAACTTAAGTGAGTACTTTTTTCCAGCGGTCAGATCTTTGAAAAGGCTGGAATTTCTGGGTTCAAGAAGGACATAAGGTGTAGAATAGTTTGTGAATCTGTAAAACAATCTTCTATACAGCATCCTTTTCACTAAAATAAATATTTTAAAGCGTCAAAATTGTACCAAGAAATACATGAAAATTGACTTTTCTGAAGTAGTTTTCACGGAAAAATCTCGGGGGACATTTGGTTGTCCTGATGGGTGGGACAAAGCATAGAGTTATTAAAGTCAGACGTGCCTTTAGCGAAAAGAATGCAACAAGGAGGAACTAGTCTTATGATATGGGCTGGAATTGTCAACCAAACCATTATTGAATCATTTAAAGTCGATGAAGCATTTAAACTGATCAGTGCTAAGAATTGCTTTCTTTGCATGGTACATGTACCAGTCTTGCAGTTTCAAAGTGAAGTGTGTATTTATGCACGGCAATGCTCATGTATGTAAGCTTACTCGTAAATTCTTCGAGCATAAGCGATTTACAGGAGAGAAGATAATGGAATTTCCACCATCAAGTCCTGATTTGAATCCGATCAAAAATATATGGTCAATTTTGAAGATGAAATTATATGAAGGTGGCAAACAATATAACAACAACACTGACCTATGGGAAGCAATTAAAACTACCATGTCGGAAACTGAACTTGATGAAGTAAAAAACAATAACAAAATCAACGGATAATAGATTACTGGCTGTTATTTAGAAGAGTGACTATATTAAAATACAAAATATTCAAAAACTAACCATGTGTTTATTATTTGTACTGTTATAGGAACTGATCATTGTTAATGATTTTATTACTTTTTACTGAAATAAAATGTGATTATCTGGTTTTGCCTAATAACTTCACACGTCAATTTATTTAGAATACATGAAATAACTTCAATAACTCCAATGATTCTACCTAAAATTTTTAACTCATGTTTATCTTTTTAAATTTAATTTGATTGTTGAGCATTTGACAATTATTTTTCAAACCAAATTCGAATTATTGACGTTTGTATGATTTACGTAATTACTTGTGACAGAGTATAAGTAAAAATATTGTTTGTGCTAATTCAAACAACATTTGGAAAATGGACAAATTCTTCTGTCAATCCAATAGGTTAACATTTCTTTTCCCCGACAGTGTTTCATTTAAATGCAATTCACAGTTTAATATGAAAAGAACTTGAAAAAAGAAAACTTGGGTGCCTCAGAAGCTTTCACTTCAGTCCCAAACGCAATGTTACATTATCTGCAACAGCATTTTCACCAGGAATACCAACCAACCATTCATTTTTGCAGCATAGCGTTAAAGATTATGAAAAATGAACTTTGTATATTAATATCAATGGAGAAAGCAGGGAAAATAGTGTTGACACAAAAAACAGGAATTCAGCTACAAAAATTTCTATTTTATGTCTGTAAGAATATGAAAGATGTCATCCATTACAATCTTACGGAACAGAGAAAAATTATCACTGTAGATGTTTATTTCCAGCATCTTGATTATGTAAATAAATATTATATTTATATTGTCTTTTTTGTTAAACAGAAAATGTGTGAATCTTCAGCATGACAATGAAAATATGCACTCAGCAAAACGTAACTACAAAATGGTAAAATCGATGTGAGCTACTTTCACATCAGACGAATTCAACAGATTTTAGCCCGTAAATATGTTCATTTGTTTCAGTCACAAAAGGAATTTATAAATGACTGCATCTTCAGAACCAGTGAAGTTTAAAACCGTTTTGCGTCGGGGGGCGAAACTTCTTTAATTTACCTTTCCAATGAGTGGGTGGCGAAGACGTTAAAAATGAAGATGATTACATTTGGGATAAATAATATTTAAATTAATTTAACTTACAGTTGTTTTACAAAGTTTCTGATAAAACAAAATTAGTTTTCAAACACAATAATATATTATCAAATTAGATTATATGAAAGTTTAGGAAGCAAATACAGAAAAAATATATCTGAAAAGTCTTTTTCATAATTTGTCGAAAAATGAAATTGCTTTCTAATGTATGTTAATAACATATAAACGTGATTTCAAAATTATTTCGTTTCATATAACTGCAAACAGTAAGTCTGGACACGCATTCTGGAGTAGAACTGATCTATGTTATAATCGAAGCTACAATAGTTTCTATTTTATAATCGAAGCTACAATAGTGTCTATTTTATAATCGAAGCTACAATAGTGTCTATTTTATAATCGAAGCTGCAGTAGTTTCTATTTTATAATCAAAGCTGCAATAGTTTATATTCTATAATTGAAGCTACAATAGTTTCTATTTTATAATCGTAGCTACCATAATTTCTATTTTATAATCGAAGCTACAATAGTTTCTATTTTATAATCGTAGCTACAATAGTTTCGATTTTATAATCGAAGCTACAATAGTTTCTATTTTATAATCGAAGCTACAATAGTTTCCATTTTATAATCAAAACTACAATAATTTCTATTTTATAATCAAAGCTACAATAGTTTTTATTTTATGATCAAAGCTACAATAGTTTCTATTTTATAATGGAAGCTACAATAATTTCTATTTTATAATCGAAGCTACAATAGTCTCTATTTTATAATTGTAGCTATAATAGTTAAGTTATAATGGAAGCTACAATAGTTTCTATGTTATAATCGAAGCTACAATAGATTCCTGAACGCATATATTTTTTGGGAGCAAATAAGACTCAATTTCGATCCTGGTTGTAGCATTTAATTAAAAATATCGCAGAGACTAAAAGAACAGAACAAACGGGTATCATGTTTTATTGATTTTACAAGTATTTAATTTTGATAGTGGCAGCAGAAACACTTTCCATTGTAACCTCCAATATGAGACAGCAACTTGAAAATATTCATAATATGCATTTTTAAAACCCAAAACTAATTAAGGTTGTATCTGATTTTGATTGTGATTTTGTCGAGACTAATTTAAACGTCGTCCTTTCTTCGAAGTGTACAATGTCCAACGATCTGTGACAAGGCGTTTGAAAAGATCTGATTTCATACATAGAATAAGATTTCAAACGTTGATCATTTAAAACTTGTCTTGAGGTATTTATTAATGGAAATTTTACATTTGCTATATTTACAATTCTTATTTATACTAAATATATTTGGACTATCGTCCTCATCTTTATTGTTGTTATCACAACTTTTCGGTCGTTGTGTCCTCCGGCCCTCATCAGGTGTATATCGATCTGGGTAACCTACAGGGAATTCTGAACTGAACCCTTTATTGAATCTATGGCGGCAGACATTACTTGTTTCCTTCGTGAAGGCATTTGTAATAACAACAACAAAGACAAGGACAACAGTCCAAATGTACAAAGTGCGTATAATAACTCCTCATGACAGAAATTCAGAGAGAAATATTATTTTCTATTTATATATACAAAAATACATAGAAAAATATGTCGAAGTAATATCTGACCTTTTCGTTTTAAAGAAAATTTTTTATAATTTTCACTGAAGTCACTAATGCTGTTCATATTAACGATGAGGACTTGTTATTGTCAAATATAACATTCTCAGATTTTGTTCATTATTGTGCAATACGTGTCATAAAATGTTTCATTATTGGAAGATTGCATTATAGAAAACAATCGTTATTTAAATGAAATGATATTGTAACAAAATTAAACTAATGAATTTTTTCCTCATTTTATTTTCAAAAGTGGTTTCCTTTTAAATTTAATATTTAGTGGATTCTTACCAATTTTTTTTTCAAATATCTCCATTAAACAGTATTTTAATATATTCTTTTTGGTGTTATAATTAGAATGGGAGAATCAAAATATATTACGTTTTAAATTTAAACGCTTTTAATCAAAAAGCATATATATTTCATTAAGCAATAGTGAAATATCATGATATAAGTTTTAAGCAAACATTATCCGGAACTTTTGACAACATCTTTTTATTCATCTAAATTCACTATTATTCAGGGAACAATATTTTTTGCCGAATTTCTTAAATCTAATGCATTAATTCAGTTAAATCCTGTATTCCATCACGAGGGAAAATGATC